AAAAAAATTTATAGGGCACAAATTACTTTTTGGCTACAAAAAAATAAAATAAAAAAATAAAAAAGTTAAGGTCACAATTTATGTATCAGTCACAAAATCACAAATTTTAACCGTCAAAAATTATCAAATTAATTAATCATAAGTAATTTCTCCATCTTAATTTCATAAATTGTGAGTCATAAATTCATAATAACATTTTGTAGCTCACATTTTATTTATTGGTCACAATTGACAAAATAATTGATCACAAACACCCCTATCACACCCAACTCCCACCCACGACACCGAACCACTGCAACAACCACCACCAACATCACCAAGACCTCACCAAACAACACAACCTCCACCACACACTATAGCAATGCTAAACCATCACTACAACAACCACAATGGAGCCACACACCACCACCACCACCACCAAATTTCTCCACTGTAGCGACGAAGACACCTCTACATAGCAACGAAGACTACAAGAGCATCACTCACACCGCTGCTAGAGGAGGCTGCACAATGGTAAAGATAGAGGCACCGCTACACTGCGGCATCATATTAGTCACAGTGTCACTTCGCAGCAATGCTAGATACTTCAGGATGATGGTGTCGTGTAGCGGCTTCACAGTGACACTGTTTACTTCAAAGCGTCGCCACTATTGTGGCAATGTTATGACCATTATCGATGGTGGCGATGGTATCTACGGTGATGATTTGTGGTAGAGAGAATATAGATAGAGAGAAGGAAGAAAGTAGAGAGAGAAAGATAAGGAAAAAATGATTATAGTTTGGAAATGAAATTGTAAATATGTAGATTAAATGTAACTTTAAAATATTTTTATTAATATTCAAAAGATCATCTGATTTTTGAACCAAAAAAAAAAAAAACTTTAAATTCATCTTGTTCTTTTTAATACGAGTATAGTTATGAATTTAGTACTCATATATTTGTCTGTTATAAAATATTTTTTTCTCCCTAAGAGCATAATTAAATAAAATTTAGTGTAAATTATGTTTTTACTCTTAAAGAGTAAATTCTTATATAATTCATTATCTATATAATAATATGTTATTACTTATGAAGAGTGTAATATTATTTTCAATATTCCAAAAAAATATTTAATTAATTATCTCATTCTTGTTCTTTTTAATACGAGTATAGTTATGAATTTAGTACTCGTACATCTGTCTATTATAAAATATTTTTTCTCCTGAAGAGCATAATTAAATAAAATCTAACGCAAGATATATTTTTACTATTAAAGAGTAAATTCTTATATAATTCATTCTTCTAAATAATAATATCTTATTGCTTTTTAAAAGCGTAACATTATTTTCAATATTCCAGAAAAATATTAATTTATTGCACTTGAAGAAGAAATAATTAAATATGACGTGCTCTCGGAGTAGCACATATCTCGAGTAATATATATCTCATTGTGTTTCTAAAAAAACGCAAATTAAACAACTCAATATTGGTTGTAATTTTTAAAGGAAACTATTTTTCTATATTATTAATATTCAAGAAGAATATTAATTTATCGCTCTTGAAAAGCATTAATTATAATTTTCAGTATTCAAGAAGAATATTGACACATTGCTCTTGAAGAAGCAATAATTAAAGATAATATATTCTTGAAGTAACACATTTTTGAAAAATATATTATTTTGGATTCATGTTTATCCCTGAAGCAAAGCATATAACTTATGTCATGTGGATATTGATCATTATATGATTATATAGCCCTCGTTTGGCTCCCATTCTTGCTAAATTTTAATGGTTGAAATAGTATTTTTTTTGAAAAATGTATTGTTGAAAAAGAATGAAAAGTTTTTTATTTAGTGTAATATTATTTTATGAAAGATTGTGTGATTGAAAATAAGAGAGAGAAAAAGAATGAGAGGGAGAATGGGGGCCCAACGGTGGCATAATGTTTAATCATATTTTTTGAAATTAAATAATTGAATTATATCTTGTATTAAATCAAAAGTACGATTTGACTTTATTATTTGGCATGATCAATTTGACCATCGTTGGATTAACAATGATATGAAATTAAAAATTCAAATGGATATTCAATGAAAAACCATAAGATTTTTGAATCTAATGAAATCATATATTATGCGTGTTCTCTTTTGTCAAAATTTTCCATTAACTATTACTAGTTAAAATGGGGATCGAATCCCCTATATTTTTGAAAATTAATCAGAATGATAAATTGGGCTCCATAATTCTCCACGTTAACCGTCTAAATATTATTTGCATCTAATATATTTAATACATATACTAGTTGATTACATGGTGTTCGCAACCTGAAATTTACAAAATTACTTCCCAAATTTAAAATCGTGAGCCTAATTTTCAAAGTATACAATCAAAGCAGTGTCTTATTATTGCTAATGATTTTAAATATTAACATTTTAATAAGTATTAATTGGGATGTCGATAAATGATTTAATAATATTATTTTGTTAAACTTCCCCAATTAATTGAGAACAAAATTCTTTCCAATTTTGTGGGAATGCTATTATGCATCATGCCAATATCACAGTTCTCTCCGTTTATAATTAGCTTATGATTAGAGCCGAATTGCTTTATCAAATTATTTGATAATGCAATTAATTCACCACAATGCAATAAGATGAAAAATAAATGCTTAGAAGAAATTTGAAGTTTTAACCCTTTATATCAAATGGGTGATATTCAATAATGCGATTTACTGATTGTCAATTTTGATTGAACAATTCTCTCAACATCAGGGGAGGAATTAAGAAACTGAAAATAATGTACAAATGCTTCATTATATAAATCCCTGTAAAAAATAATGAAAATCAGAAGTTTGAAAGATAATATATTTAAATGCATTTACTTATCAAAGATATCAACAATATCTCATACAAAGCTTTAAATACCCCAATATGAATTGATGTCATAGAATGACAATTCATTAGCATTATATTTGATATATATATGGTACACTTGAAGTATGATGATATTCGATTCTAATATAAAAACCTCCAAATGAAGATGGAGCAATTAACAAATATGGTTCAATTAGGGAGGCATATACTCTTGATGAGTATTTAGACATCACAAAGAAGAGGTTCAGGTATCTGTTGTGTTGAAAATTGAGATATATCAATAAGTTATATTATTATAGAATAAAAAAAATCGTTGAAAATACTTTTACACATGATGTACTGCATCATATTATGAATATCAGGGCTATCGAAATAAATTTGTCATTAATCGAAGTAATGATTGGTCAAATGAAACGATATGATCATACTGAATTAAATTTACTAGGGAAACCTGAAGTTTTTGAATCCATATCCTAAACACCTAAAGGTATACACTTATGTGAAATGAAAAGGAAAAAAGCAAAGTCGTAATATGAAATATACAGCTCTTTACATAATAATTGTCGTGAAAACTTGTATAAATAGATAAGTTATCATGTAGTAGATGTAATTACAAGTCTCTATTTCATTAGCGTGACAATACATGAAATTTGATGCGCATGTAATAAATATGATTATAGACAATTTATCTTATATAGTTTTGATACTATCATGGAAGAATTTAATATACATGAAGTATAATTCAATTAATATTGTATGAGGGAGAGTAAATATGTGTTGTACTCTTTTCCCTTGACCAATGTTTTATCCCATTAGGTTTTTCAGGCAACTTTTGTAGCGTATTCAAAAGAAAAATGTAATCTTTTCCTTTATTAGGATTTTTTCCACATGATTTTTCCTAATATAGTTTTAACGATGCATATTCTTTATACAATAATTTCATTAAACTACAATACATTTACCCTCAAAAGTATGCTTTTATATGTACGAGACTCTCGAAAGATGTTGGAGTTATTTTTCGAATCATCATGTTCCTACGGTCATTAAATATTGATAAATATCTCGTGAAGACAAGCTATTTGAAAACTATGCAAGACAACATAAGACATATTTCACTAGAAGCTGTAATATTAAAGACATTGATGTACGAAACATGAATGATTTGATATAAGAATTGAAATCAGGGGAAGTAGTTATACTCTTTTTTCTTCGATCAAATTTTGTCCCACTGAATTTTCTTGACAAGATTGTAATGACACAGTATTTTATTACTCTAAATTATTTGTACTCTTTTTCATTTGTTGGCATTTTGTCTCATCTGGTTTTTTACCAAACAATGTATCAATGATATAGTTATTGTGTGAATAATCATCAGAGAGAGTGTGTGTAAAATAATGAGATAATTATTGCTCATTATTTAGTGTTATCATAATATATAAATAAATCTTACATAGGCTAAAAGATTTATTTCATTCCAATAGTAATTTTTATTTTAAACCCTATACATACGAGTTTTGATTCTCGATAAAATACACAATTGAGTTTTGACTCTTATATTCTCCTTTTTTTTCACTTTTTTATTACAAAATCTGATTTTTGAATTGGGTCTTTTAAAACTTTTGATAGGTGTAATTTTCAGTTGAATATATCATTTAAAGATGACAAATGGATTGGTGGTCATTTTTTTCTTGCTTTAGGTTGAAAATACAATTTTAAATTATGAAATAAATAGAGAAAATTATTTGTTGAGAAATTTTTTAAAAGAATACTACTTTTCTATTTTCTTTACCCCATAAAACAGTACTAGAACGATTGTCACTTAAACTATTAACACAAAGGATAAAGTTATTCAAACAAGTGAAAATGTCAGCAACTCTCTGGCCCTTCTTCTTCTTTTTTTATTTTTATTTTTATTTTATTTATTTTTTAATCTGTTCAATCCCCTATTTTTAAACCTTGTCCCCCAACCCTATTTGTGAAGCAAAGTCCTAACAGAAAACTAATCCAATAATCATTATCTGTCAAATGTTAATAATTAAAAAAAAAAAATTTGTTACCTTTTCGCATTTATTATTTTATTAAATAAATTTCCATATGCAAAATAAAATAAGAAAAAAGAATTTCCCAATAAATAAAGAAAAAATAAAATTATCCACGTGTCAATACTAACTTTCTTCCTACTACTCTTCGCTGTTTCTTCTCTGTTAGTCGCTCAGGTTCCCTCATTTCTAGTTCGCACACAAATTCGACATTTTATTGGTATGTGGTTTAATTATTTTTTCTCTCTATAATTCTGTTTACTTTTTCTGGTTATTTTCATGCTTAAGAAAGGGTTTTTTTAATTGATTTTTAATGTGATCAGATTGCCCTGGTCAGAATTAATCCATTTTATAATTCATGATTGCTTCAAATTATTTGGTTTCTTTCCGTTTCTTGAGATTAATTTTCAATTTTTGAATAATCTGTTTTGTCGGAGAATCAATTTGGGTAATTAGAACGGAAATCATTGTTTAATTATTATCGAGTAATTGGCACATGCTTAATTTAGTTGTGGGTTCTATTATTTGTGCTAACTGTTTCTGCTTCCTCTGCAACCAAAGCAAGAAGGCCATGAAGCTGTGTCATAGTTTAAGTGAAAAGAATTTTAAATATACTTTGATCGAATTTTAATTTGAATCTTTGTGTATTTTCAGTATCAACGATTTTGTAAATTGTTAATGTAACGAGCTTTGAATGGACGACGTGCATAATATAATCCGACTTAGATTTCCATTGTTGATGAAATTCTGTGTGTTATTCTTGGGGGTTGAGATTTTTACATTAAGATATTACCATCCTATCCAATTGAAGATTGTGGAATATTTAATTTCATTTACTTGATTTATTCTAATTATTATTTGGTCGTGGTTATTGTTTATTATAGGTCACGGCCGATCTAGTGCTTTCGCTTTTCAGAAGTTACAATGTTGTCGAGTCTTGATTTATTGTTTTCTTTTAGGTATCTACAATGTGGTGTAGCGTGGCATCAGTTGATCGACTGTTAGTCCTCATGGTTTCTTGGACTTTCTTGGCGCATCTTTGCAGTTGTTTGATTGTGTTTTCTTAACCGTAAAAGTAACGCAGGGGAAGTAGATGTTTCCAATCAAAAGGCGATTTGGAACACATATGGGATCGAGGAAGAAATGCAAATCCCTAAACATGAATGAGATAATGACTTAATAATTCATAGTTATAATTTATGTTTCATACTTCATCCTATTTTGCGAGTCTATTGGCCGGTTAGGAATCTTCTTAGGGTGTAAAACCTACATGTGCTACCATTGATTGTCAAAATATGAAATTTTTAGTTGTTTTCTGATTATCTGAGTATAAATTGCTGTCATGTGTTGAGTAATCACTGTATAACGAGGCATAGTTTGTGTTTGGATCTCAAGCCTGCACTGCTTTGATTTTCTCACAAATTATAATTTTGTGGTTCGGGAAGTATCTTAAACTAAATCAGGGTTTAGAACAAAGCTTGATCTGTAATTTTGGAATTGAAGTTGTCCCCTCACAATGGTAAACTCATTTTTAAGCTTTTTATATTTTTTTTGCAGAAACTAGAAAAGGGCTGGGGAATGGAGCTTAGTAATATAGAAGATTCATTTGAGAGAGTTGCAAAAAAGCAAAAGTTGTCGTCTTCCAAATCCAAAGAGATAATCGACCAGGTCATCTGTGAAATTGAACAGGCATTGGCAAGTATGCGATCAGATCATGACCCTACTATTTATGTTGATCAGAAATCGATACTCACTGAACTCAAAACCAAGCTTGCAGTGATTGGCCCAATCGGTCACTCAGAGGGATCACAGAGAGAGCTGAATATAAGTCTCAGCAAGCATGTAAAAGTCCTTGAGCAAACATGGAATCCTGATATATCGAAGGCATATAGAAATGTCGATTTTGATACTCATATTGTAAACCAGATCATCATCAATCACTTTTGCCGTGAAAGTGAATTCGGTATCGTAGACTGCTTAATAAACGAGGCCAGTGAACCGGATGGCGTTTTAAGCAGATTGCAATTTCAAGAGATGGATGAAATACTCGAGGCTATGAAATCTAGGAATGTTGAACCTGCTTTCACTTGGGTTTCAACAAACCGTGCAAGACTAGATAAGTCTGTTTCAAATCTTGAGCTAAAACTTCACAAGCTGCGGTTTGTTGAGATTTTGCAGAATGGAACCCGAGAAGATGCCATCAGCTATGCCAAAACTTGCCTGTCTCCTTTAGCTTCTCGTCATATGAACGAGATACAGAAGCTTATGAGTAGCATTCTGTGGGCAGGAAAACTTGACAGGTCCCCTTATTCTGATTTGATTGATCCAACACGTTGGGAAAAGTTGTCCAAGGAGCTTTTTCAGCAGTTCTGTAATTTCATGGGGCAATCCTCTCAGAACTCTCTCCGTGTGGTAGTAGCTGCCGCAGTGGAGGGACTGCCAACTCTGTTAAAATTGGCTAAAGTCATGGCTGCAAAGCCAGATGAGTGGCTTGCAATGAAACAATTACCTGTGCCTATAGAGTTAGGTAAGGAATTTCAATTTCATTCCATTTTTGTTTGCCCAGTTAGCAGGGATCAAGGTAGCGAAGATAATCCACCGATGTTGTTACCATGCGGGCACGTTCTTTGCATGCAGTCGATTGTTAAACTTTCAAAGAGCTACACTCGTAACTTCAAGTGTCCGTATTGCCCTGTTTATACTTTGGGTGGTTTGGGTGCACGGTGCAAGCGACTGTACTTCTGACATGATAAAGTTAAGGTCGTCCGATTCCGCCCTTCTTCACTAAGAGATTTTTTGTGTTTCTCAGTATTAGCTCATTGTTACCTGTTGGCTTCTGTAGTAGCGTTATCCAAATTTAGGTTTTATTCCTTCAGTTACGCTTACAATGTATTTCCTTAACTGAATGCCATTGTGGATAAGTGATTCTTTTTTGCATTATGGTTTCTTGATTTGTCATTAGTATGCAATGCCAAATTAGCTTTACTACTATTCTCCTCCTAAAAATATACGAAATGGTATAGACAGATACGAATAATGCAACTCCAAGAAAGAAAAGAGTGAATATTTAACTTAAAAATGTATTTCTCACCCCAATGTAATCTATCAGAAACACTAAATTAGGGAGAAGCAGCACTAATTTGAAGAAAACCCCATCAATTTTCCGAAATTGGGGAAGAATTTGGTAGAAGCCGCCACCTTCAGTGGCTTTTCTTCAACCAAATGTTCATTAACCATTTCTTTAACAGATTTGGCAGACAATGGATGAAAATGGGCACTCCACTCTGTAACAAACCCTTTAGCCAAAACCCATTTTTCCTCTTCATTCATTCTTTCCCATTTCTTCTTCAAATCCTCCGAGTTCAATCCCATGAAATTGCACAATTCCGTGAATAATAACTCCCTGCTTTTCTTCAAGGCTTCTTCTGTTTGTAACATGTTGGTGTTCAATTTGCTGATTTCTAGGTCGAGTTCTACTGCCAGCATATCGTCGCTACTTATTTCTTCGTTGGTGCATGAGATTTTAAGGCTTTTTCGTGGGGTCGAATTGAATTTAATGAAATAGGTGGCGGCGGCGGCGTCGGAGGAGGATAAAGGGAAGGGGTGGGTGTGGAAATTTGTGGGCTGTGGGCGGAGTTTTGCGGAAAGGAGGTGAAACCTTAGAGCCATTTTTGGAGTCGGATTGATGGATTGTATGACTGGGGAAGATTTTGTTTTTTGAATATGGGGAATTTGTGGATTGATAGGGAATGATTTGTGGGTTTTGTGGAGCTTAAGTTTTTGACGGCGATTGTTATGTTGTTCTATCACGGCGGAGCAAAAAAGGGTTCCGGAGGATGAAATGAGCATCTTTGGCTACGTCTGGACAAAATGTAAAGAATAATGAGCGGCTACGATTATTTTTTTTTTTTTTTAATTTGGTTGAAGAAATTCTAATCTAATTATATTTCATCACATATCATATGTATGTAACTTATTATGCACATGTAATACAATCAAGATTTCAAAGTTCGCCCCCCAGGGCACTTCTCCACTGGCAAAGGACGGACGCTGTCAAATCTGGCAGAGCAGAGGTCGTGAGTTCGAAACATGGGGCTCTTGGAAGGCAAGGATTTATTCTTGGAAGGCAAGGGAACATTTGGAAGGCAAGGATTTATTCTTGGAAGGCAAGTGGGAACTTGGAAGGCAAGGATTATTCTTGGAAGGCAAGGTGCAACTTGGATTGGCTTGCTTGGCACTTTGTCAGACTAGGTGGGGAGCGCTCGGACCCTGGCTAGTTGGAGGCACATCCTGCGATTAACCGGACTGTGTGAAGAGGGGCCGGATCACAGACCCAAGGATTAGTCTAGAATAGGACACCTTGTAAAAAAAAAA